CAGATCTTTCCTCTCCTGTGTACTTCATTTTCATTCCCTGGTCCCCTACCTCATTCCCATGTTCTTGTACCCATTTCTACCCGTTGATTGTTTCACAATGGCTTTTTTGCACTGTTCCTCTTCTTTCCTTAGACACATAGATAAACTGCATTTGATCTATGAACTGTCCATGAGGCATGAAGTAGCTTAAGGGGCCTGGTTTTAATTTTAGCGTTAATTTTTTTCTCTCTCAATTTACAACATAATTGTTTCTCTGTCTGTTATGGTTTTGCTTTTTTGTGAGCAGTAAACAGTTTTTGATGTATGAACATACATTTTTAAACTGGAAATATGCATTTTCAAAAACCCATCTTCATGGGGTTGTTTCAAGACATAAAACAAAAAAGGGAAAAAAAGCCACAAGATTTCTCTTATAATTCCAATTTCTGTTCACTCTTCTCAGAGCTTAACCAATTTCCATGACGAGACCATGATATCTGGATTGTAGGGGTTAAGGCAACCCCCTTCCCCCCAAAAAAGGGAATAGATTAGCAAGTCTAATGGAATTTTTTGAAGGCTAAAATATTTTTTAATTGTAACAGACTTTAATGCACAAAATAGTAAATTATAACTTGCTTCTGTGAGAATAAATAACCTACTTGTTTAACCCATTCGTCCCGGGTGTCACATATATGAGACAGGGAAAAAATAAACAATGTCGGGCTGCCCGCCAGTGCGATGCTGTCTCAGAGCTGCGCTCCGAAGCAGAAGTGGCGCGCGGCCAGGCGGGCGGCAGACTCCGGAGAAGCTCTGCCCGCCGATTTTGTAGCTGCCCGGATTTTTTAAATTTTGGCTACAAAATGTACCCGGCGTGAGTGGGTTAAGGTGTATTCAAGGATTCAAAAACTTGCTTTATTTTTCTATTTAATTTCACATTTCATACATGTCAGGGTTTCAGTACATATATAGTTACAACAATGCAGCAACCAATACACAACTTCATGTTATTGCCATGAATCACAGATGAATTTTTTCTTTTCTAAAAGACATCACATGAAGATTAAAATCATTACTGCATCTGATTACAAGGGAGATATTACTTGAATGCTCCTTATAGGGTTGATAACTACCCAATGCACTATGATTGCGCCAGATGTCAATTAACTCTTGACTAGACCCAGGACAGCATTCACCATTTTGGCCACACCATCATGAATCTCGTGGAACTTTCCCTCATACATGAAAGCAGGTGTTGTGACGACCTGGTTTGCTTGGTCAATGGTGACTTCATCCACACCCTGCAAAGGCAATAGTTAATGGTTAAAAGAAATAAATGTGCTAGACATCAGAGGGGCAGGAGCAGTTTCCCAGCATCTATTATGATGGAATGGGACTGACCAGGGGAGATCAAAAGTTTTAGAGAAGGATGAGGAGGAGGGGGAAGATGTGTCCTAATGCAGTGAGGATCATATATAGTTTTGTTGAAAGGACACTGGATTTAGGACAAAGTGGAAAGTTGTAAGTATGGGAAGGAGAGACTACAACAAAACCAGCACCAGATATGAACTTACAAGCCATCTGTATAAATGTGAATACTGGAGGACTGAGTAGAGGCATGGTTGAGTAACTGAGTGAGAAGGACAAGGAGGGAGGGGGGCTGATTTTGGGTAACAAGGAAAACAGTGGAGCAAATACAGGAGGAAGGTTTAAGCCAAGGAAGGAATGTATGGGAAGAAAAAGGAAGGGGTTGGAGATGAGGAAAGGGTAAATGGGAGAGAAGAACATTCATGCAGACAGACAAAGAAATACACAGGCATGAAAGGAGGTAAAGATACTAAGAAGTGATTGATGAACAGTTAGTCTGGAGAGAGAATTGGTAAAAATATGCATAACTACACAGAGAGAGAAGGGCATGGCATCAAGATCAGGTTTTTTATTTACTGGTCTCGTCAGGATAGTAGTGAGTCAAAAACGACACCAAGGAATTGGAGTGGAGTATCATATCAAGAGTGGAGGTCGGGGATCCTTCAGTGATGATAAAAAAAGGAGACTGGAGATAGAAAAGTGAAAGCCATAGTCATTAACCCAAGAAGAGATCAATGATATAGCAGGCAGGATAAGTTGACAAAGAGCAGGTATGGAAGGGCCAGAGACAAAGATGGTTAAATCTACATACAGGGAGGATTGGATACCTGGTGGCAATACTGAAACTAAGCCATTAACAAGAAGAAAGAATAATGTGATGTGCACAGGAAAATTTCCGTTTCTCCATATACTGTTGAAAATTGCCAGTAGGAAGGAAAAGGAGGTAGGTGTCTAGCTTGAGACTCGGATATAACTCTTTCAAGGGATATTGGAATGGTTGTAAAAAGGAAACTTTGCCTTGTTTATAGCGACAAAGTTGGAAGAAGAGAGTATTGTCAGAGTGAGAGCAGTAGGAGGAATAGCAAAAAATCAATCCCACTTATCCGGGCTAAAGAGGGTTGTAAAAATGACTGTAAAGGTGGGAATTGTAAAGGCATGAGGAAGAGGGAGTGGTGTGGAATGAGGTAGTACTGTGGTGGGGAGGGCAATAAGAATAAAGAGTTGTAACCAGGGAAGACAAGATAGAAAATGATAAAGATCATGCAGGAGATGGTGTGCAGGTTAATGGGAGAGAGGAATAATTATTACCTGGGTACATGATATAGGATGGGTCACATTGACAGCAATTGTCGAGTAGGGGTAGGTAGTAGCAGAGTCAGAGCCATAACCAAGGAAGATTCATGAGTCAGTAAATCAGAGTATTTTGATTCAGGGAGGCTAGCTGGTATTAGGGAAAGCCTCAATGGCCTTAATAAGGGTACAAAATCTTCATTATTGGCCATGGTAATCCTGAAATATGAATCCCCATGTGGAGTTAGGGATAGACATTTAACCAAGGGAATACTGTGCCCATGGCTCTCTGGGGCCGTTCATGACTGGCACAAAGTCAACCTTTCATCCTTTTGACACAAACTTCACACTCTAGGAAGTGGACAGGGTAAAGGATGAAGATATGGGATAGGGTTGAAGATAAGGAAAAAGAACGAGAGAGAAGAAAAGACCTTACAAAACTGCTTGAGCCAAGAGCTGAGGCCCAAGGTAGGGGAGCTCCCCAACATTGGACCTCAGTCTCTGTCTCCCATGGCCCTGACAACAACAGGCATGGGAATGGGGGTACTGCAAGGCCTTCTAGAAATTCCAATATCATCATCTCAGGAAACACTAAAATCTCAGCAAGATAATTCTTTGAGTAATTATGTAAGAGTCCACATATTCAAAAGGCTTTAATTTTTAAGTAAACATAAGAATTCATAATAGATCTAATAAAAATAACTGTTTACATATAGATGGCTACTTCAGTGTTTAATCATTAAATAGTCGAACACTAAGTCTACCTGATCTCACCTTTTCCTTTATTTTGGGGGACAATTTCTTCTTGTTTATTACTATTGGCATTGGTATTATTAATATTATAATAATCAAAACAGCAATGATAATAAAAATAAAAGCAATGATGATAGATTAAAAAATAAATAAATAAATAGAATAAAATTTCAAGGAATGTCATAATACAGCAATCAACCCAATGCCATTAGGAATACATAGTGTTCACTGTAGTTTTGTTTTGTGAAATCACACGCCGTTGACTCCAAAAGTGCTTAGCCACCAAGGAGTCAATCAGTAGACCTCATGACTTCATCTGAGTTTTCATGACCTTTCATCATGACATTATGACCTTTCCTGGAGTTTTTGGGAAAAATCTTTTGTTTTTCCTAATGCTTTCAATATTGTTGCTATTATCATTATTATAGACATGATTATAATGTAATTAACATTCCTTGGTGACTAAAGTACTTGTGGAGCCATCTATTGGGTTGTTATTATTCATAAATCAGCATAACAGCAAATGCTCAAAATACTTGCTGTAAATATAAATCTTTTACAAACAATGCAGTAGATGTCAAGAGAAATTTAACACACCTGCTCAATTACATTAGCTCCTAGGCCTTTTGCTGCTTCCAAGGATCCTGCATATGGCCACTTGCCTGAACCATCATCTGTTAAGAAAAAAGCTTACTTAAATCAACATATGTACACCATTTGCAAAAAATTGCTCCTTAGTACTCTTAATCCCTCGAGTACAGCTTCAGTCATCATGATGTAATCATGTATGACGTGGATACACATCATGACCTGCTATAGCGAGCAAGTGGGTGGGCTGGCTGTATACGGCACAAAACCAGCCAGAATGACAAGACTGTTGTGTAATGATTACATTGCACAAAATTCTGGCCTCACCATGATAGGGTTAAAATGAAATCATCCTGTTACACACAACATACATGAGAGGAAAGTAAGGACAACTCAATAGCTTATGATTCTAATCATTACATGAATAATCAAATTAAAAATGACCAGGTCAGCCATTTCTAAAGAGTTTACTAAATATATATATGAAAAAAATGACCATGATCTTTATCCAATATATTAATATCTCTGAAGTACATTATCAATCTGAATATTTACTATTATTAAATCATAATAATATATATTCAATTAAATCAACTAAGCTTTCTTTATATACATATTGGTTTTACTTTTATCTTCTTTTTTTTTTTTTTTTTTTTGGGGGGGGGGGTCAATGGACATACAAAATTTTTTATGCTTCTATCACCTTGGGTGTGTATCTGTTTTTTTCTTCCTGTGGTTAATGATATACATACTCATAAAAAATAGATATAAGATAGTTAATTATACTGACCCAAATCATTTGTTGAAAAGACATACCCTTCCAAAGCTCAAAACCAGGAGGGGCTACAAACTTTCAGAAAGTGCATTATTCATGTGACCAATTTCATAGGACAATAGGCAAAGGAAATCAGCATAGCTGAAAATTCAGCTTTCCCTGGCCTCACCCACATGGTTCACATTATAGGACAGCCCTTTTTTTGTGATTTTTCAAGGTTAAAAAAAATCTGATATGGCAAAAAAATGCAATAATAATAGAGCACCATCTGAGGCCTACATACACATCCCACTAGGCAAGTGGCTAGCTGAATAGTCCACAATGAATGGGTTATTAATTAAACTGCAACTAAAACTAATTCATAAATCATACAATAATCAAATTAAACAAAACAATAATCAGAAAAGGCAAATACATTCCTCCCTTAGACATGATAATGGAGTCACTCCCGAGGAGTCCAAACAGAAGGCCTACCTGATTTCCCAAGCGTGATGGTGACTCCACTTCCTCCAAGAACCTTAGCAGCTAGCATAGGAGCAATACAACAAAGGCCAATGGGCTTCTTGGCACCATGGAAATCTTTCAAGACACGCTCCACCTCAGGAATCACAGTCATATCCCCTCCTTTAACAGCAAAATCTGACCTGGAAGAGCCAAGAATAAGAGCTCCTGTATGCCACAGTTGGGATATTTCAATAGATGAGAAATGTCACTTGCAAGACCTCAATGAATAATTAATACTTGACTTCTAACTTTGTACGAGTCAAGTAATACCTGGAAGACTGTTCACTAACTTACCTTTAAAATGTTTTATTGTCCAAACATGCAAAATGATATTTATAAATCATATAAAATTCAGAACATCAAAATATAAAAATATCCATACAATCAGAATGACATTACAATCCCATCATGGAAAAATCTGGGTCAAGGGACAGGTGATGTTTCATTTGACATGAAATTCTCATGGAAAAGACTCACCACAAGTGCCATCTTTTCACACACAAAACTTAAGACTATATACAAAAGAAAATTGATGTTACAGTTATGGAAAAATGGGATTTTTACATTATTCTTAATTTATCAACTAAAAGCAAATGTCAATAATCATAACAAATATTACTCCACTGGATCTAGATGCTTCACTGCTATCATATGGCCCAAAATGTGATGCAAAACGTGCTGCCGTTAACCAATCAGAGAGCTTCTTTGTAGTCACACGGTAGAGGTCAACCACTCAGGAAGCCTCTTATCTTACAAAACAATATGGCACCCTAAAAGGTTCACTTGTTTGCTGGTGTGCGCCACTCTAAGCTCTAGAACTAATCTAAACTTATAGTTTTGAACTATATACTTAGTTTAGTTTAAAGTTTAATTGTAGAGAGGTTTATACAGCATGTAGACAGTAGAGTAGATTGATATTTTCTTTGTAAAGCTGAGAGCTTGCATGCAAAAGAAGACAACAAAGTGACACGTAAATTCAAAAACAATAATCTTAGTTCTGAATTGTAGTAGTAGATCAAGGGATGGGATTCATTACATAAAACAACGTGCCATGAAAAGGTGAAAATTGGAATAATCCGGTTATTCTTTCTGTTCTGTAAACCCTATATTTTCACACCAGACTTTTTTCTCTTTTTTTTTTTTTTTTTTTTTTTTTGCCATTGCTTAAATTCTTTCTGAAAAATCAGAGAAGCAAATAAAATTGGTGTGGCGTTACGAGAAAACTATTTTTTTAGAGAGAACGAATAAGGGTGTTCCATATGCAAGACTATAAAAATGAATAGATTTCAAGGAAAGCATTCAATTTGAAAATCATCAGTTTAACAAACAAAGTGCAATACACAACTGGTTCCAAATTTACTACAGCATGGGGTATTCTTGTAGTAAAAGGCATCTATTCAAAGCAGCCAGAAAGAAAAATGCAGTTGCATTTCCATAGCTCTTTTAAAAGTACTAGTACTATATCTTACAAATTCTTAGCAGCTCCAAATCCACCTGGGAAAATCACAGCATCAGCAACTCCACTTGTCAGTTCAGTAATGGGCTTCATATTTCCTCTTGAAATACGGGCAGATTCAGCTAGCACATTGCGGGTTTCGTTCTCAGAAGGTGCACCCTGCAAGGTTTCATAAACATCAATCATTATATGAAATATCTAAAGATCAGTAACATTCCTATGACAATAAAATGAAGGTAAGTATTCAAAAAGTCAGAATATGACATTAAGCTAAATCTATTATTTGGGAAATGTACAATATGTAGTGGGATACCTATAAAAAGAGAAATCTCACACAAAGCTGAAGCAATACCATACAGATTAAATAAAGACACAATTATCTCACCTTGGAGTGATCAATAACATGCATCTGAGGAGCATCTGGGGCATAACATACGACATCAGCTCCAGCACGGGTCAAAGACACCAACGCAGCTGAAGCTTCGTGGACTTCTGAACCATCGTACACACCTGACCCAGACAACACCTAAAGTGAGAAGAATACAAGAAAATAAAACTATGTACTTACAAACCAAATACAGGCTCTTCTTGTCTTTCTTTCTGACATTATTTGGAACTGCACTTTTCTGAATAATACTGAAATGTGAATTTGCAACATTTGTGTATTTGCAACACTTCTTACACAAGCATTGAATATGTACAGAACTAAGATCCACTGAAAAATACATTTACATGGTTTGGAAAAAGACCCTCAAATGCAAAAAAAAATAACTTCAAAATAACTAAAAATCATTCTAAACTAATATATTCCACAGCAAAGTAACTAAAAAATCATTATAAACTAATATATTCCACAGAAACTTGTAAATCTTACACATCTGTTGTTGTGGTTTTTCTAACAAACTATATACTGAATTTCCCAGGGTTTAACATGTCCTTTCTAAGATTATCAACAAGAAAAAAATTAAAATATTAATGAAGGGAAAGTAGAGCATTAATTTACAAACAAACAAATTCTAAAGAAAAATAACTATAATTTAAAATTTAAACCCTACAATCAGAATGACATTACAATCCCATCATGGAAAAATCTGGGTCAAGGGACAGGTGATGTGAACATGCCATCATCAGGCAAAATGGCCACGGGCTGGATGACATGAACTTGCCCTCATGAGGGAAGGCCAGGGTGATGGAAAAGACTCACCACAAGTGCACAAACCTCTTGGTGTGTGATTTGACTCATTTGACGCCTGAAAGGGGGCTTTAGCATTATTGATGAACGAATGTAGAATGTAACATGCGTGGGCTGATTGGAAAAGCTCCTGTTCCAGAGGGGACACCATTTCCATGCTGTGCACCGTATTCCTGGCCACTGTGACCAGCGACGCAGGTTGTATAACGGAACATTGAAAATTACGAGATATGTGACACAAATAACCAAATCTTCCATACTTTTTTTTTTTTTTTTTTTTTTGCACTGAGTTATTTACTACATAGAGAGATGACATGGAGTCTGTGCAGGGAAAATAAGATATTACCATCTAGATAAAGCAAATCAAAAGACAAATAAGGACATTGGAAAATGGCAAAAAGGATAAAAAAGTTTACAAAAATTAAAGGGGAGGCACATTCTTGTCAGCGCTCACTAGGTAAACTTTTCAGATATCCAAATCCTATAATCATTAAACAATATCTTATGACTGTGATTAGTCATTTGTATGAAAAGTATTTTGAAATTTTTACATATTGTGGCATGCTGGCATTTCTTTTCTCATATGCATCCAATATTGTGTAAAATTAGATATTTAGTAACTTTTCCTCTATTACTAACCACAATCTAAATCTGATACATTGCCCCTCTGTACAATCTACACAACTCCCGCAGAAATAAAGTTTAAATCTGTGACAAGTTTAACTTCACCACCACCTTCAAGGAATTCACCAGTGCCTCACCGCCTTACTACCATACCGCTTCAGCCACTACCACTTACCAAGAAGTAATAATGGGAGAACTCCAAAACATTACAAGTAGTTCCAGCCAGTGGGATAACTTCCCACAATCTTACAGGTGTAGGGTGACTGGATGAGGGGAGGTCATATCTACAGAAGATAAACTTGGCTCTATTGGTGTAAAACTTATGTTGGCCTCTGGGAGGGATACCGTAGCACAGTACTGCCAATGCATCATAGTCAACAAGGCAGACAATTAGGTCATTCTCACAATCTGACAAATTAACCCCTTCCATTTGGGTAATGTGACCATGAAAAAATTTGACTTGAAGGCCAGGTGAAGTGAACATGCACTCATGGGATAAAATGGCTGCGGGCAGTGTCCGATCATAAGCAAAGGCCATCATACGCAGAGGCCAGGGAGATGGAAAAGACTCTTGGGCAGTGATTAGACCTAGACTTATTTGGCATTTAGAAAGGGACCTTTGGGGTGATCCCATACCTTTGGCCTCAATCTCTATCTCCTAAACCCCCCACGACTACAATGAGCACGGGATTAGGGGAGGGGGGCATAAAGGGGACCATCAAGACGAACATTTTCAAAAATACTTGAAAATTTGAAAAAAAAAAAAAAAAAAATCTCCTATAATCTAGTAGGCTTTGGCAATCCTGTGACGTAATATTTTTGCTAAATAGGTAAAAATAAATGAGTTATAACTGAATCTCTGATTGTTTTTTTAAACAACTTCATTATTTATTGTTCAAATGACATGAAACTTGGTGGCGTTTATCAGATGACATTCTTGCAAATGGTAAAAATTTGTAGTCGTTGGTACAAGGAATAATGTGCAAACATGAATGATAACACCACAAATAAAGGAAAGAGATCATGGAAAGTGCCACTCATAGCCAAAGTCCACTTGGTCCTCCCAAGTTTTAGCTCTACCTTGCCATGCATATGAGGTGAAGACAATCTTTTCTGGGAGGTGTTGGGGGCAGATCCCCCAATCAACCCTTCCCTCGAGCAGTGCCCGAAATGGAATGTTGAATAAATTTTGTGTGACTGAAGCTCTTAGTCACTAGTGAGTGTGTTTATACTATAAACTACCCATTTCTGTGTAGAACAATTTTAAAAACTTTTCAAACATACACAGACTACCACGAAAATTGCAGGGCAAAATAATAATATACACAGAATCCATCAAAACCAAAATCATCACAATCCATTGGGTAGACCTATTCTATTCGAGTGGATGGCCACATGAATCAAAATGATTACTAGATATTTTAGCCCATTGGTTGCAATATTTTGCAATATGGTGCATAATTCTCTAGTATTATTTATTTTGCACTCAGGCGGTGCATGGGACCGCGCTATGGCAGTACTGCTTTCCTTCTTTTGAGTACATGTGTTTGTTTATATATATATGAAAAAATGTGTTTGCAAAAGTCTCTGAAAACCTTTACAAAATACATGCAAGCATATGAAAATGCGCTTAAAAAGAGTGGAGGGCCTGGTTTTAGAACGTGCCAAAGGCATTCAACTCCTTTAGTGGAAAACAGCCCATCATCGCGCAGGCCCAGGGTGGCTAGCATTGGCCCTAGAAGGCCGCTAGGGGAATACCAGCTTGGGAGCTGATATCCTCTGGCCCACTTAGCTCCCAGGCCGTGCGGCCACCCATTGCTCCAATGGATCAGCTGTCAATTGCACTGTACATCATATGATGCCATCCACATACAATGGGTTAACTGCTTACAAATTACTGTTAATGTATACTTACTGCAGTTGTCAATTTTCTGCCAGCCTTCTTTTAGATGAGAAATAATATATGCAAACAATAGAGCAAATGATTCTAAGAAACTTATCTTCTATATACTTCCATCATAACTCAAAAATAACAAAATTATTGGTCATACAAGTATTTCAGAGCCCAAAATGAAAAATATCAATATTTTAAAAATCGCCAACTGATATCCTTTCCTACCTTTTGTGAACAAAACAATGATGCCATTTCATTTTTGCACATCTATTGTAATATTTGAGTTTCATGCATAGATAAAGTCCATACATCATTACATGAAGGAGATTTTGCTTAAACAGAAAAAGATATGATAACACAACACTAATATTATAATAATGAGTATTTACAGCAATAGATATACATCTTACATTATATAAATCGATGGCTCACCCATGAGGGGCCTAAAGAAATGCTCGGGAATTTCAAATACAAAAATGATTACACATGAATTGCACACAAAACCACTAGAAAATTTTATTGTATATTTCACGTGTGACATTGACACAAAAAGCCAATAGTATTCCAGGAAATGTTATAGACTAATCACATGACACAGTGTGTGGAACAGGTATGGATAATGGTTAAGTACAGCGAGTGTAATAACTCTTACTATAATGGAACGGAGTGCACACACTCATACCCTTATTTAACCCCCATTAACGCCAGTATGTTTTGAAGCCAAAAATAAAAGATTCCAGGCGGCTACAAAATCAGCAGGCGGAACTGCCCCGGACTCTGTACACCCCCCTGCCACGGCCCACTGCTTCATCGGAGCACAAGCTCCAAAACAGCGTCACACTGGCATGACACCCAGCAATGTTTATTTTATCGGGTGTCTCATATGTGGAACACCCGTTGTTAGTGGGTTAAGAAATATATAAAACCAAACAGCATGATATACAGTGATGGATGGGCTGCCAAGCAAAACCTACATCATGATGGTTACAAATATCGGAGTATTAATCTATACACACAACATTGAAAGATTCTGCCAAGATCTTAAAGAGTGGGTGAAACGGCCTGGAATAAGGAATATCTAACACAATACATCGCACACTTTCTGTACAATAACCCAATACCACCGGGTAAAAAAAGTTTGGCAAGTGGATATAACGGGACTGTCCACAACAGCCATGGCCTGTACGTATATGTCACCCGGCAGCATGTGGTTAAGCACTACTCTGAATCCCTCTTGCATTCTCTTTTATCAAGCAGCATCATTGTATCCGCAGCAAGGCAGGGTTCAAAGACCAGACCCTGCTAGCCCCAGTTCCTCTCACTGAAGATAGCTTATAAAAGAGTAATGAAATTAGGTAGGAGTTCACAATATGTATCATATTTCTTTATTCATTTCCATAGTAGTATAAGTAGTAGTAGATCAGGGAAATTAAGGGGTAAATTAAACTGAACTAAGAGCTGTGAAATTTGAATTGAACTAGCACAAAAACTACTTAAAATCAGTCAATGAATCTATGGGGGTATAGGTTACTTATAACAATGTGCGTAGATAGAAGGAAATGGACACCGCCATCTTATAGAGCAGAAAAAATAGAAAAGGATACAACATAGCTTAAGCTGCAGCGGCCTCATAGTCACCACTAAATGATGAAAAAATACCTTGCTATCACTGCTCATATTCTAAACCCCACTTTTTGTTTACCTTGCCAGGAATAACACTACGCTGACTGCTTAACTCATTACTGTGATATTCCAAAGAGTTCATGTGTTACTACACACTTGTCAAAATGATATTTGGCTGATTATTAAGAGTCTG